TGGCAAGCGCTAGTCTACTTTAGAATATATCCGATAGAATTCCATGTCTTATGTCTTGAGTCAGGAAGATAAGAAAAGATGGGCTACTTCATTTCTTCACCTCTAGACTGGAGATCCAGAGTGACTTCCAGTTTTATAGACTATGTATGACTCTTTTCCCAAGAGTGAAAAATCCTACTTTCAATCGTCTAACCCAGGAACAGCTAATACTTTTACATCCATTGTCCACCAGATGCTCTGGGCCTGGGCAGGGTGTATGGATGTTGGACAGAAGTACCCCTAGTTCCCCACTTCCTTCTCCCGCCCTCTTAGCATTTCCCCTCTACCAAAGCCACACTCTTGCCTGGTCTTTTTTTTTTTTTTTTCATAGACCATAGATTAGTTTATTTTTAACACCCATTATGCCATGAATTCATAGGGAATAGGTTCCAATAGTTCAGGCTTCTTTTCATTGGTTCTTATAAAGTGTGCTTGTCTTGATGGAGCAGGCTGGCGCTTTAGTTGAACCCAGGTACCTTTCTCTTTGGCTTTCTTCTTTTTGTGGTCATTTTCCTTCACACGTTTTAGGAAGCTATCTCTGCTCTTAGAATGCTTAATATGCTCAATACGCACATTAATTCTTTTGGCAAAAATCTTGCCCTTGACTTGTTTGTTTATAACAATGCCAACAGCATGCTGGGTAACATTGTAGACTCTTCCAGTTTTGCCATGGTAACCTTTGTGGGGCATTCCTTTCTGAACAGTACCCATTCCCTTGATGTCTATAATATCACCTTTCTTGTAGATTCACATATATGTTGCCAAAGGAGCCATTCCATGTTTTCTACTTAGAGAGCGTATATTGGGTGCCTCTTCTTTTTCCCTTTGTGTTCATCATTTTGGTTACTTTCTTGAAGATGGTGGTTCCATCCTTGCCTGGTCATTGTTCATGGTCTCTTCACTTGTTTCTCTGCCCAACCTGTTATTTAGTCAATAGGAGCATCCTGGAATCCTCTGCATTCTTACTGACCCCAGCTTCCTCCCTGCTCTCAGTCCCTGGACCTACACTTCCTTTTATCCACTCCATAATTACAGCTTCTTGGGGCAGTGAAGCCTGACTCCGTGCTGCAAATTCATGCACACATAGATAGCTGGGCATGCAGTTAGCACTCAATAAATATTGAATGGACGAGAGATGGTAAATTTACCTGGACCTTCAGGCTTCTGTCAGTTTGGTTCATATTGGGTTGACTCCTATTAGATTTTTAAAAAACTCTTTAAAAAATACTGTTGTCATTTCTTCAGTCTCCAGAAAACCTTTCCATTTCCTTCACTCAGAATACAGAGATGGAATTTTATTTGGAGGGCAACTGTTGTAATTTCCCCTTCCAAGCTGTTCTCTGGAGAAAATTCTAAGTAAAAAAAGGAAAGAATAAATAAGAACAAGAACAGCAAAAAGGCAGAATCAAGGGGCCCACATCATTTACAAAATATACAACTTGGCAGACCCTAGGTAATAGAGTATTGAAGATTTTTTGCTTAAGCAGGGTAAAGGAGAAAAAAGTTTTATGTCAATAACAAGCATTTACAAGAAAAGGAGCCTAGAAAACTTTGAAGAAACATGAAAGCTTGGTAGTGAGGAAGTTTATTTAAGAAAGCGTTTATTGTAGAGAATATAAATTATAGATATAATTATATTTTGTTGCATATTATATAAAGTATGTATTTAATACTATTATAAATATCATATTATATAAATATATATTCTAATCATAAGATCATTTGGAAGTGAAAACAAAGACAAAATGGAATTGGCTTTAGCTTCTTGAAACTGCAAATGCAAGATACGACTTTTGGAAAATGTATTTAATTGTTGATGCAGAATAAAAAAATGAAACAAAAAAATACAGAGATGGCATTTCAATGCACCTCACCTTTATGTTTCTCTAACTTGAAAAATCGTTATGTATTTATGTGCACAGCCCTTTTATTTATATTTTAAAAATTTGCCAAAGGGCATGTGCTCTTATAAGAGAGAGAGATAGAAACAAACAGAGAGAGAAAGAAAGAAAACACCCTCTAGGGGACATGGTCACACCACAATCCCTTTTCCTTTATCTCTCCTTCTGTTTGAGAATTTAAACATGCACACATGTGTGCTAGCAAGCTGACAGGTCTGAAGATTGAACCGCACAGTTAGCCATGTGGGAGCCAGCTCATGTAACTACCAGATCACGTGATGGCCTGCATAGTCCTTTTAAATGTTAATTCTCTCTTCCCCTTTTATAACTTCTATTTTACTGAGACCCTCCAAGTTTCCCACCTAAGATTTTTCTGCATCTTCTTTTAGCTGACATCTTTTCTCTCAAATCTGTAATCTTTTCCCCATTCACCACGTCTCAGAAAAGAAACGACATTTAAGTGTCTGTTTTCTCTATCCTAAAATTTTCCTACCTTTTATCTTTCAGTGCTATTTTGATGTCATGGACTTAGCATTAAAGGTGCCACACCTGGGGCCAGCAGGAGGCATAGTTATTAAGCTGCTGGATTCCCAAATGGCCAACCACAGCTGAGTCCTCGACTTGACATCTTTAAAATCACATCAGGCATGTGGTGTGCATGCCCCCAAATCCTGAAAAGAACATGGAGGAGAAGGGATTGCAGCATGGCCATCACTCCTTGGGAAGTGATTGTTCACTTTCCCTTCTTCCTGTCTCTTTTCATCTCTCTCCAGATAGTGAACACACGTTATGGTCAAAAAACCCACAAAACACCAAAAACAACAACATAACAACAAAAAAAACAAAAAAGCTCCCCCTCAAAAAAACAAACTTATGGTCAAAAAAACACAAAACACCAAAAGCAACAACATAACAACAACAAAACAAAAAAGCTCCCCCTCAAAAAAACAAAACAAAAACCAAATGGTTATATTCTCATCTAAACAATTCTTTTTTTGGTAACTGAATATTTTTAAAAATTATATTTTATTCATGATAGGGAGTGTGTACATGCAAGAGAAAGAGAAACATTATTAAAAATTATATTTTATTCACGGTAGGGAGTGTGTACATGCAAGAGAAAGAGAAAGAGAGATGCCAGGGTCTCGTCACTCTGTCATCTCCTTACCCAGCCATCCAGCTTGTCCAGACCTTGGGCGTGTGTCTGTGCACCCAGTGTATTTCTGCTTGACCAGGTCACAGCTTCGGTTGGCCATGTAGCCCCAGAATTGCAGTCAGTACACTACGGGCTGCACCATTGCAGCTGGGCTGGGTTTCTATTGTATTGAAATAAATGGCATCGCTATCCGAAGTCTTGAGTTTAACTATGTCTCTTTGCTGTGGGTTTCCAAAATTTAGCAAATTAACAACCATTTTACTATATTTTTACATTTTGGGAGTCAGAAATTTGGGCATGGCTCAAGTGGGTATTTAATTTGCTTTCATGATACTAAGTCTCTCAGTAGGTTCTAGCTTTATCATGTATTTGGTGTCTTGCAAGTGGGTTCCATGGGAGTTGCCAGTCCAACATGGAGGCTAGAATTGGGATTGGGAAGTTGGAATTCTGACCTGGTATCTCAGCGCCCCAAAAACATGTTCTAAGAGACAGGAAGTGGGAACTGCTGGTATTGCAGGACTGGGCCAGGAACCCAGCACCCCCAATTCTGTTGTGGTTCCATTGAGCAAAGCAGTCACTGAGCTGATCAGATTCAAGGGAGTGACATAGAATCACTCCTCAATGGGAGGAGCCCAGGGCCTGTGACTGTCCTGAAGTCAACACACTCTTCTTTACCCACCACGTTTTTTCCCTTGCTCTTTGCCTTTACTTTGTTTGCATTGACCTGCTGAAGTCGCAGCTTCTCTGATTTCTTTTTTGAGCAATTCAAATGAATGTCACTTCTGCGTTCTTCTCTACCAAATTTCCTATGTACAATCTTATAACAATGACCTCATTAGTATTCCATTAAAATTAGTACTTGCCTAACAATAAAAACCTCATGCTGTAGGGCATTGTGCCTTCCTAGACTTTAACCTACTTGAAATCCCTTTCCAGACTCCCCTTTACGTTTTCTGGGGTCTGGATCAAGTCCAGGAACTCATTTTCCCAACATGATGACACATACTCCTTCCTCTAACCCACCCAATGTGCCTTTTCACCCTTTCCCTTGGCATGGTTATCTTTTAGAAATCTCCCTCTGCTGACATACTCTTTTTCCTTCCATGTTAAACTCAGATATCAGCTTCTCCATAGCCCTGTCCCTGACCCCTCTAAATAGCAGTAGAACTCTCCTGAACTCTCACAGTGCTCCTGATTCTTTTAAAGGTTTTCCGAGAGCTTGGATTATAGTCATTTTTACAAGCCCCTCTTACTTTAAGCTTATTAGTCTTTTAAATCGTTCATAATCTGTAAAGTCTCACATCCTCGGTGTAGTGCTTTCGCTTCACCCAGTAGGTGCTCAATAGATTCACTCTTGATCTTAGCCATAGATTTTACAGGCAGATCATCTGTAAACAGAAAAGGATAAATTCACCAAATGTGGACAAGGCGCAGTTGGGTGGCATAATGCTAATCAGTTTATTGGCAAAAGACAATGGTCATGACCTTGTTAAATAGGGTCTTTGAGATGTTAAAAGGGGTGGGCAAGAATTTGTAGTTTCAATATATAGATTTGTGCCTGTACCACAGGGGTATAAGGACCAACTTCCAAAAAGTCTCAAATGACTATTAATTGATTAATAGTTACTTAGGTGTAGCTATGATGGCTCTGTAGAGCTTAAACTTGTACCTTTCTCCATTTATAGTAGGTGATCTCATAAAATTATATGCATGGAAGTCTGTACACACACACACAGAAGCAGGCACACAAGCAGTCTGAAACATCATCTAGGAAAAGACGTACTTGGTAAACTCTCTTTTGTTTCTACAAAGCATAACCTCCGAATTAGTAATGGGGATCTACAAAAGGCCCCCAGAAAACCCGAACGCGTGTTTATCCAGTTCTTCTTTTTGGTGTGTTTTAGGCACTTTTCACACATGAGGGGAAGACGAGCTTCTGGTTAGAAGACGAGTGCCCAGAGTCCACGGCCCCTTGTCCACCATGAAGGGCACCTGTGTCATTGCATGGCTGTTCTCAAGCCTGGGGTTGTGGAGACTCGCCCAGTTAGCGGCACCGGACGCCTCTCAGTGCCAGAGAGCTGAGCACCCCGTTGTTACCTACAAAGGTAAGGAGCGAGCATGCTCTGACCACAAAGCTAAGTTGAAGTGCACGTTCTGTATGCAGTAGCAAAGGGAAGCAGAGTAGCAGTTGCTCTGTTACTGTGTCTCTTGTTTTAGATCTTGCTTAAAATCAAGGCACAACTCCAAAACTATCTGTCACTACACTTTCACATCCAGACACTATCACGATTGCTATGTCATCTCTCAGATAGAGATTACCATGGGTAGAGAAATCCCATTATTTAAGACTACCTTTATTTAACACGTGCTGCAGGCCTCTTCAGCATCTGAACCAGAGAATAAAAATATGACCACAAAAATGACAGTAAAACCAAGTAAGTGAATTCTTCACTTCAGCATTTCCCAAATGAAAGGTACCCCTTTGTCTTAACCTAGAATTGCATGGCAGCAGGATCGATTTCATGTCTCAAGTATCTCCATAGATCTGTAGGATTAAGCAGTTACTCTGTCTATTCAATGATTTGTTCATTTTTAAAGTTTATTTATTTCTTGTATGAGAGAGAGAGAGAGAGAGAGAGAGCGACCTTCTAGGTCTGGGACTTAAACCACTGTCAGCCTTGTGGGAATTCCAGTGCCTTAATCACCACTCCACCTGCTGGCCTGCATTTATAAATCTTTATTTTTTTATTTATTTAGAGAGGTTTTTGCTATAGGGTGCATGCACTCACCAGAAAGTCAGAGAGATACATAGAGACAGAAAGCGAGAAATCAACCCCCAGGAGAGATGGCCATGCTGCAGTCCCTTCTCCTCCATTCTCCTCTTGCGATCTTGGGCACACACACACATGCACCTGGTGTGAGTTTTAAGCCACCGGGTCTGGGACTTGAACCGCAGTCAACTACATGAGAGTCCAGTGACATAGCCATTACACCAACTGCTGGTCCTCCTCATTTATAAATCTTAACAATACCATTATTGCAACAAGTGAAAAAAAAAAAACAATAATTTTATAAACTCACCAATCATTGAGTGAGAATTAATCCTGATGGTCTCATGAGTACTTGTGTATTTTTGTTAACAGCTGGATTGAAATAGGATCTAAATGAAGTCCATACATTGGGATTGGCTGCTACATTTTGGAATCTTTTAAAATATTTTACTTTTTTATTACCTCTCACAAATTAATTTTTAAAGAAGCTGAGTTATCTTATAGAGTTTCCCACTGTCTGGATTTTGCCCATTTTACTTTGTTTCTGTTATTCAAATACTACTTTTCTACTTCAGAAGGCTTTGCACATTTGTAGTAATATCAAGATAACTGATTAGATGTGACCTTGAATCCTTTTTTCGTTGACCCTGTCATGTGTGGTGCTGTTTATCACTGTCAGAAGGCAGTGAATGTTCATATATTTTTAAAAATTAGCAGTCATTTATGATTCCTGTCTAAATATTGGGTCTTCGGAGTACCAGCAGATGGCATAATGGTTACATTGGTGGACTCCCGTGTAGTCGACCGTGGTGTGAATCTTGGACCTGGCAGCTTAAAACTCACGCTGGGCTTGTGTGCCTGAATGCCCAAACTCCCAAGAGGAGAATGGAGGAGAAGAGGAGAATGGAGGAGAAAGAATTGCAGCATGGACATTCCCCAGGGGGTAATTTCTCATTTTCTGTCTCTCTGACAAGTGTATGAGCCCTATATCAAATATGTATATCTATATATCTATATATCTATACATATATATATAGTCATTTCATGGTATATTTTTCTATGCAAAAATGAGTGATGACTTTTTCGATGACCCAATATATTCATCCATTTATGGTCACAAAACTGGGATTTTCTTTTTATATTGAAGAGAGCCTTTTGCTATAGGCCTGTGTGCTTGTTGGAGAGACCGAGAGAGACAGAAACACACAGATGTGTGAGCTTGCTGGAGAGACCGAGAGAGACAGAAACACACAGAAACACAGAACTCACGCCCTGGGAGGCTGGCCATGCTGCAATCTTTTCTCCTCTATTCTCTTTTCGGTATTTTGGGCATGCATGCAGGCATGCCCAGTGTGAGTTTTTAAGCCGCTGGGTCTGGAACTCGAACCACACAGTCTATGACATAGGAGTTCAGCGATGTAACCATTATGCCATCTGCTGGTCCCCAAACTGGAAGTTTCTACTTCCACCAGCTTTTCTTTATTTAATGCTCAGAATAATCCTCTATAAATGAACTTTCCTTTAATTATTTGACTACCCTGAAGGCGCAGTTCACATGGGAAAGTCAGAATAAATGCTCCCTCTCCAGGCTTTTCCCATAAGACCACTGCCGTGGTTCTCGAACGACACTTCAAGCGTTCATTCGTTGGTCAAATGTAAAGTGTTCTATTTGCTTTACAATTTTTTAGATGATCAGAGTGATGACATGAATTTCAACGTATCGACGTATTTTAATCCATTGTAGCTTTTGTCCTCGTGTATATTGCACCTGTGGCATTTCAAGCCCCAGGAAGCCCCTGGAAGGCTGAGTTTTCCTGACAAACTGTCAACTTTGATAGCTTCTTTACTCTCTGGAGTAACAGTAGTTCCCTCCTCCTTTGGTCCATTTCCTTCCACAAATGGAGCCATCACCCACTTCTAGCTGCTTCAAACACTACAGGTGTTCATAGTTAGATTTTTTTCAATGGACAGTGATACAAGACACACATTTTAAAAAGTAAAATGCACCATAAACGTCTACTGATACTTCTAGCTCATCTCCAGGTCTCTGAGGTCTTTCTGACTGTCTCCCATCTCATGTCTGCCTTTTCCTCCTGGGCATAGAATCTGAGTCTCTGCTGGCTGACACTGTCATTCTCATCTTTTCTCACAGTGCAGACCCTGTTGTTTCAGAGGAACAGTTCCATGCAATCCTAGTTGTTTTTGATGACTGAATACTTTTTAAGATGGTCTTTTCGCCTCTTCCCTCTTCTTTTGGTTCTCAGAGTTTATATTTCGCTGGGGAATTCACATAGAATTACTGCTTTAAAGTAACTTGAAATACTTCTCTTCTGTGAAGTTATACCATCAATCCAACAGCAGTTATATGCATTTGTTCAATTTTGTTTTTGATTTTTACAGATTCTTAAAATTTACATTTATTTTGTAGTGTTTCAAAGTCAAACTGATATAATAAGGGCTGTTCAGAGAAATCTAACTGTGCTCTTTCCTTCATTACTCTGTTCCCTTTCTCTGGACTCAGGAAAACTACTTTTTGCTGTGAACCTGTAAAATCAAGGAAACATGTGACCAATTTGCCATTTAATGCTGAGATAGGATTAAGGTAGAACTATTTATACCACAAGAGGAAAAGAGTAATAGGCTCATGTAAGACTGAAACCCAAGAGGGCAGACATGAAGTCTTAGAGCTTGAGAATAATCTCCTTTGACTCCTCCCAGTGGGGTAGCTGGGTAGCCCTGCCCCGGCTTTGCTGAGTACAGCCTATCTAGCTGCTCTTCTTGGAGTCCAGCACTGGTTGCTTTCCAAAGGTAATAGCTGTAAACGGCTTTGCTGATTACAGCCTATCTAGCTGCTCTTCCTTGGAGTCCAGTACTGGTTGCTTTCCAAAGGTAATAGCTGTAAACTGTTGGTGGTTCTACGATTCTTAGGTCTCAAATTGTACCCGCCAGGTAGATGTGGTTTTGGTGGGTACTTTCTACTCAGACCCACATTCCCTTTGGCCTAGTCCTCATAGAAGCTTTCTCTTACGACTCTACCCCATGACAGGTCTCCGCTTGAGTTACCAGGCTTCTTGATACATTCTTTTTTTTTTTTTTTTTAAGAGTTATTTTATTTAACTTTATTTATTATTATTATTGTTACATTGTATTTGACCAGAGGGAGAGACTGAGAGAGAGAGGAGAAGCAAGAAAGCAAGCCACCAGATCTGGGACTCAAACTGCAGTTGGCTATGTGCGAGTCCAACACTCGTATCCACCACACCTTCTGCCTACCCCAATAAATCCTTTTGAAATCCAGTTGGAGGACACGGTATAACCCAAAACGAACAGCATTTATCAAAGCCATTTCAGGGCAGTGCTGTGGGAAGAAACCAGATGTTTATCAGTACAAGGATAAATGTAAAGAATTAGACAAAAGAGGGGAAAAAATTACCTCAGCCCAGGAGAGGCGTGAGGACAGGGAATAGCTTTAAAAGGGAATTACTTAATCACCTTCACCTGGTGATGGGAAGGAGCCAGGTAAAGGAAGAGGCCTAGGAGAGAAGGGAGAGGGGGAGGTCATTGATTAGGGCAAGTCCCAGGGGCTGTAGGAGGGCATAGGGTACTGGGAACAGGTGCCAGGTTAGCTATAGGAAGCAGAGCCCACCTCCAGTGTGGCTGCAAGAATGGATGCCAGGGTACCCGGGATGCAGGGAAGTTAGTGGATTGGGAGGAGGGTGGGAGGGGAGGGAGTTCCTGAGGACCTCCTCCATCTTGGCTGAGAGAGATAGGTCGGCCACGAGCCAGGAGCATGGGGGCTTTAGGAAGGAAGTGATTCTCGGAAGAAAGGATACGACTGTTGATCAAACACACACACACACACACACACAGATGGCTGTGTGTAGATGGAGCAGCCCAAGCCAGTCCTTGAAGCAGCTCATGTTACAGTCAAGCAGGTGGCCACTGCCATGCAACATGAAGGCGTTTTGGTAAAGCAGGACTCTGTGAGAAGGTTGGGGCAAGTAGGATGAAACACCAACAAGGGAGAAATAAAGGAAGATCTGTATCATCTTGACTTTTTTTTTTCCTTCTGTTTTTGGAGAGGTTTTTGCTATAGGGCGTGTGTGCTCGCCAGATAGACAGAGAGAGACAGAGAGACAGAAAGCGAGAAATCACCCCCCTAGGGGGGATGGCCATGCCACAATCCCTTCTCTTTCATTCTCCTCTTGGGATCTTGGGCACACACGTACACGAGCCTGGCGTGCACTTAAGCTGCCTGGGCTGGGACTCGAACCACGGTCGACTACATGGGAGTCCAGCGACATAGCCATTACACCAACTGCTGGTACCTGGAT